AGAACACACATGGCAGAAAACATAAAGTTAACAATTTTCATACTATTTTGATGGAAGGAAACAGAACCTTTTAAATAAAATTCAATCGTTACATTGCTTAGTTTCATTTTATATAATGTATTTTAATTTAATTCTAAACTAATTAATATTTCTGAAATCTATTAAAACCAAAGAACCAAAAAGAGCAAAAGATAAACATTACCATGAGTCAGATCTTAACTGATGAACTCATTATTTAGTGAAAAGCTTGATATTTTAGGATGCAAAATAAAGTTTTCATATTAGTAAGAAAGTATAATTTTTACTCTTGGATTTTAGGGCCTTTTACAAAGAATTCTAAAGCTGTTGGTCAAAATGTTCATAAATGGTTTATTATGTCATTTCATTAATAAGTCTCCTGTTGGTATATTCATTCATTAAACATAGTATGGCTTCTTATAATGAATTGTCAATTATTCAATAACTTAAAGATTATTAGAAAGTTACTATTTATCTTTTATCATGAAGGATTTTCTCTGAAATACATATGTGAAATTGCACTTTACACAATTTTAAACTTGAACTATTTAATGCTATAGTTCTTATTTAAAAACATTATATCCTATAAGACTTTATGAAAGGTCATACCTGCTAATATTTGTGTTCTCATCCTTAGCACATATGAAAACAATAAAACTTTTAAGCTCTTTAGAGTTTTCTAGCCTATTTTAACTGTAATTAATGTGAGACAATGCACTACTAAACAATAATGAGACAAATTAAGAATTCACCATTGACCCTGGATGAATGCATATTACTTCCTGCATGCATGAATATTACTATTATCTAACTAGCTAGTATGTGATCACTAACAAATATTCAAATTAAGTTTGACAATGGACTTCCATGTTACTAAATAGCATTTAAATTTACTTTAGAAAATAATTTTACTTTCTCTAATCCGGTATATATTAATATATAACATTAAGATTATTAGGAGTGTATAACAGAGAAAAAGCATAGCATTTTCAAGTTCTAAAGAAGTGTTTGTATATATGTATTTTTGTACATGTAATTTTTATTTCATGAAAAAATAATCAGTCAATCTACTGGTAAATATTAAAATATTTTAGCACAAAATATAGTTCTTATTATGTTAGAAAACATTCCATAGAAAGTTTCATGAAGAATACTTATCACCACATTTGAAATGATCAAGAAAATTCTTTTAGATGAAAAAGTTAACTGAAAAATACTTACCATATGTGTATTTAAATGCTTAACAACATCATGTATATTGTTCTATAGGATTTTCTAAGGGGTGTAATTTTTCAGTGTTACATTTTAATACTGACTTCCTGAAGGAGCTTTGACTACAATAGGCATGAATATGTTTTCAAAGGATGATGGATAAATTGCTGGGTGGTTATATAATATATCTTAGGCAGTTGATGGGGCTTTTTATCCTTTACTTGTCTTTTAGTTATACACAGTTTTAAGATAATTATGGTCTATAAGATTGTCTTTTCCCTTTTCTTGCACCAGAAATATTTGCCTTGGTTATAGGTTCCAGAAATCCCCAATCATACATCATAAAATTAAAATGAAACAGTTCACAGCATTTTATTCCTGCATTGTGTCTCTAAATACTGCTAATACTTTGGCTTTCTGGTCATTCACTGGATTCCAATTTGTCAATTATATTTTAGTTAGAACAAATAGACAAATTGCTAAATAAAAATCTTGATGAGAAACAATGTGATTTTGTGTGTTCTACTAGGAAAAGGTAAAAATATATACTAGTGGACATTTCTATAACAAAATTTGATTTTGTTTTACTTATATACAGTTTACATCTATCATAATAAAAAATGAATGGAATTGAGATAGAATCTCATATTAAATATGAATTTTTGCTATAAAATAATAATGAGGTTAACATTAGATATTTAAAACAAAATACATAATATTAAGACAAAACTGTATGGGGGACTGAAATAGAAAATATGCAATCATGAATGAAAAGGATTGAAATGAAACTTCAGCTGTTAAAGTAAGCTTGTGTATGTATATACTACTATAAGGGATATTGTCACCAATTTGCTATGTTAGACTCAATTGGATAAACGTAAAAGAATGACATAAAAGTTTTTCATTAGAGAAGTAATAATTATAATAACATCCATTACAACTAAATAATTTCATAAAGAACATGTTTAGATAGGAACTATTAGACTCTCTTCACCCGAAGCAGAGTCAAGAAAATCAAGGACTCATAGAAATAAACAGTCCAAACAACTAAGAGACCACGCGGGCCTCGGCTTCCCTGGTCCCAAGAAGAATTAGATAGTGTCGACTATCATAATTGATCGCTCTGCAGTAGACCCTACGAGACGGTCCTGGGTCGAGTGGGAAGGAAAATGTAGAACCTTGTCAAGTTCAAATCATAAAGAAACAAGCTTACTGGCTTAATACAGACAGGGGAGACCCTTAAAGCCTGGTGGCCTAGAAGGCTACTAGTTGGGCTGTTAACTGCCAGGTTAATAGTTAGAAACCACTAGTTTCTCTTGAGGAGAAAGGGGAGACCTCCGACTTTCATAAAGAGCTCCCATCTGAGAAACCACCAGGGCAGTTCTGCTTTGTCCTGTCGTGTGGCCATGAGTCACAATGGCCTCAATGGCTGTGAACTGAGTTGATGTGGTGGGACCCTCAGGAAAACGCCAATCAGAGCTCAGCTGTCAGCCAAATAAGACAGGGGGAAATCACAATAAAAAATTTTAAAATAAATTTAAAAATTTCAGTAGTGTGCAAGTAGAGACATTATTTTACAAAATTATTTTAGGAATGCGAAAGAAAAAAAATGTGAAGACCACTGTCCTTCAGAATCTGGAAAACCAACCAAGATATAGGATATATGATGATGGTCGCTCAGTGAGAGTTAGGGAAACAAATATGAAGTACCTTATGATGATTTTAAGTGTAATCTTTAAAATTTTCAGTAATATTAATTTAGTACTATTTCACTATTTCCTTACTTTAACCATATACATGTAACATTCATTTAGTCACCATTCAAATCTTATAGGCATTATGAATATAAAAAGTGATTTGCTGCTGTACTGGTTCCCACTCATGGTGATTAATATATGTGAAGTACTGATAATCTTATTATCAGACATTCTAGGGGTTTTTTCTTTATTTTTTTTTGTTATCTTAACTATGCAAAATATCTACTGTATATAACAATTTATACTTATGAATCTTTTCTTCTTAGCTATCTCTTAGATTTAAAGACGTAAAAAAGTCAAATAATGTAGTTTTAGAATCAGTCTACATTTGTTTGGGCTAAGTAGAAATGTGAAATATTCAAAAATCTTATCAAATAATCTGCTAATTTTATTGATACCATTTTTGTTTTTCATTGTTATTTGTTTTAACTCATATGGTATCTAGTGATCTCCTATACATATATCAAATGGTTTTAAGGTAAAAATTAAAATGTTAATTGGTTTATAAGAAATTCTTAAAATAATAGTTAAATCATACTTAAGAGTTATATATATGTGCATATGTAAATATATTTATATGTGATGATGGGGAAATAGATCTATGTGCATATATTTATAGGTTTAGTGTTAAAGAAGCAGATGGACATTGGGTACTAAAATACTTCCTCAATGCAAGAACACTTTGTTCTATTAAATTGGCACTCCATGGCGCAAACCTTCTGACAAAGGATCGCTGAAAACAAAGCCAGTGCATAAGCAAACGTGATGAAGAAAGCTAATGGTGCCCAGATATCAAAAGACATAGCGTCTGGGGTCTTAAAGGCTTGAAGGTAAACGAATGGCCATCTAGCTCATAAGCAACAAAACCCACATGGAAGAAGCACACCAGCCTGTGTGACCATGAGGTGTTGAAGGGATCAGGTAGCAGGCATCAAAGAACAAAAAATCATATCACTATAAATGAACGGGAGTGATGAATGGGGACCTAAAGCCCATTTTTAGGCAACTGGACATCCCCTTACAGAAGGGTTGCGGGGAGGAGACGAGCCAGTCAGAGTGCAGGGTATCAACAGTGAAACATACAACTTTCCTCTAGTTCTTAAATGCTTCTTCTCCCACACTATCATGATCCCAATTCTACCTTGAAAATCCAGCTAGACCACAGAATGTACACTGGTACAGATATGAACAGGAAACACAGGGAATCCAGGACAGATGACCCTTCTGGACCAGTGGTAAGAGTGGCGATACCGGAGGGTGGAGGGGAGGTGGGGTAGGAAGGGGGAACCGATTATAAGGATCTACATATAACCTCTTATGAAGGGAGACATCAGACAGTGTAAGATATGACAAAATAATAATAATTTATAAATTATCAAGGGTTTTTGACAGAGGGGGATGTGGGGAGAGAGGGGAAAAACAACGAGGAGTTGATACCAAGGGCTTACGTAGAAAGCAAGTATTTTGAAAATGATGATGGCAACAAATGTACAAGTGTACTTGACATACAATGTATGTATGGATTGTGATAAGAGTTGCATGAGCCCCGAATTAAAAAAAAAAGAGAGTTGTAAAGAAAGGCTTCAAATTGGGAAAAATAAATTGGGCTAAAAGCGATAAAAATAGGATTAATAAATCATATCAAAATGAGAATATGTAGTAATTAGAAGTAAAGAATTAAATACTTCTTATCTTTCTTCAGTAAGTAATATAAAATGGATTTTATTTGCTATCACATAATTTTTGCAAAGACATGACCCAATTATGCTGTTTGCTGTCAGTCTCTAATAGATTATTACAGCTTTCCCCAGTGATATAAAATTTTAATTAACAATAATATTAATTTAAAATTGAAATTATAGGCTTAAATAAATTTTCTCCTTTTAAGAGGAAAAAAGTTCAGTTAATGCATTTAAAAATCATTTGTATATATACAAACATGTTTCATAAATTTTTTTCATGAAACATTCACTCTTAGATAATGTAACAGACATTGAATTAGGAATTCTCTACCTGTAAAATGTCAGCAGGGTCTTCTTTAGCAGATGCGACCAACAAAGTATGCCCACTGATGATTCCCTCTGCCAGGAAATACTTGAAGAGTAAAGGTGAATAAATATCATATTTATCCTCTTCTGTAAAAACATAAAACAAAAAAAGTCATAATCCTATCATATACCAAACTCACAAGTTTCTACAGCTTTTCTCCGTAAAACAAGAACAGGAGTTGGGCAGTATTTGTCTCCATGATGTGTAGGAACATGGGCTGCGAGACTTGACGACACAGTCAATGGCAAGCAGGCACTTTGAACAAAGTCTGATTCCACCAATCATTCTCTTCTACTTCTGTAATCCACAAAGTTCAGAGGGTAACATAGGACTATAATGTCAAAAAAGTCACAGATATTTTGCTTGTGTATTACGATACATGCCATTCCCTCACTGTACCTCTCACACGTCCATTAATACCTACGGACTTGCACCTCCTTTCCTTCATGTCACAATACATTTCAGTAAATTTGCCCTTATTTCTTTCATATCACAATAATTAAGCACTTCAGTGACTAACATGAAATGTGAAGGTCCTAGGAAATGGCAAAAATCAGGCTGCAACCATAGCAAAGTGTCCTCTGATAGTGACAACGACATGCAAGATTTGTAAGTTTGTGGGGTTTTTTTTGCTTGAGTGTTCCTAACCCTCTTAACTCTGGCACCAGTAAGCAATATGCTTTCCAGCTTGAGATGGAAAAATCTGGAGCACAGAATTATCAAGATAGCTGGAAGACTGGGAAAGAGACCCCAGAAATCAGAGCCCCTCAAAGGTCTGAGACTCAAAATATGAATACAAACTGCCCAATCACCGGGAGGGGGCGGGAATGAATTCTTTCATGGAGCTCTTCTCTTCCGCCAGTCTTTCATCTTCCTCCAAATGACCTTTCCATGCCAGGATCTGTTAAGAAGGGGAGGTGGGGGTGCCCGCAGGTATATACAGATAGGATTCCCTTGTGAATAATGACAAACAGGATTCCCAGGAGTGCTATCCTGCTGTGTATAAAATAAGCTATTTGAGGAGCAAGAGCCAGGAATGGAGTGTGTCCTCTGGACCTGAGATCCCTGCACAGAGAATTCCGGGATCCAGAAGACAGCAAACACTTTCCAACTCATTTTATAAAGTATGACACTGATTCTACAGGTATAGGAAAAGGATGCTAGAGACCACTATTATTCATGACCTTACAAGAAAGTAACTCTTAAAGCCTCATCAAACAAAATAGAGCAATATATAAAGTAAACAAAGTATGACCCAGTAGGATTTATCACAGTTATGCAAGTTTAGGTTTAATATCTGAAAAATTAGTCAATGTACTATTGTAAGAGACATAAAAGGTAAAATCATATAATTTTGATAGATGCAGAAAAAGCCTTTGAAAAACTTAACACCAATTTACAAAATAAACTTGTTGCAAACTAAAAATAGAATAAAATTTCTTCAATCTGATAAAAAACAAAAACAAAAAACCCCCAAACAAACGAAATCAAAACTCATTGCCATCAAGTGACCCTACAGGGCAGACAGGGTCAAACTGCCCTTGTGAGTTTCAGAGACTGTAACGATGGGAGTAGAAAGCCCTTTCTTGCTGCCGTGGAATGGCTCGAGGTTTCAAACTGCTCACCTTATGGATTGCAGCCCAATGTGTAAACACTACGCCACCAGGGATCTTTTACTGGGACACCAGGGTTCCACATTAATACATCATATGTTGTTGTTAAGTGCCCTTGAGTCTGTTCTGTCTCCTATTCCAACAAAACAAAGCACTGTCCAGTCCTGCACCATCCTCACAATTGGTATGTTCGAGCCCACTGCTGCAGCCACCTTCGATTTAGCTGACCTTCTACTGTACCAAGCATGGTATCCCTCTCCAGGGTCTGGTTTTTCCTGGTAACACATCTCAAACACACCTTCCTTGGAAGTCTCACCCTGCTTGCTTCCAAGGAGCACTCTGGCTATACTTTTTCTAAGAAAGATTTATTTATTATTCAGCCAGTCCATGGTGTTTTCAACATTCTTCACAAAGACCATAATTCAAATGAATCAATTCTCTTATCAATATTATAGACTAGCTATTCCACTATGGAGTATTTGATCCATGAGACGATAACACATGTCCTTATACAGATTTTATAGGAGACTTATGGCAGCTCTTTTTATAATATCCTTAAACTAGAAAAACAAATGTTCATGAACTTGAAAATAAAAAACAAACCACGGTATATTTATAAATGGAATATTACTCAACATTATAACTGCTTTTCTACAAGAATTGTAAGAATATAGACAAGTCTCAAATATGTTACACTAAGGGGGGAAAGCCAGAGATTTTAAAAGTACATATTATATGGTTATATGGAAAATTTAGAGAAATAATACTAAGCATTAGGTTTCTAAGACTAGGAAACTTTTGGTGTTAGAAACTTTCAGGGTTAAAATGGGCATTTTGGGCTATAATTCAGTGAATTTGGGAAGTACAGACTCAGCTACAATTAGCACCCTCAGTGAGGAGTGCCACGATGGCAGCAACAAGAGCTGAAACAATCAGCAATGAGCTTCACTTAGTCCTGTTACACGGAAGGATGCCGTGAGTGGAAGATGACTCAACAACACCTAACAAAAATAAAAGCTGGCTTATTAAAACAATTTCCTAAAGCTCATGGTCACATGATCAATAATGTTAGCTAGTATGGTTTTTATCCTCAGCTCTTCCTTTTCCTTTCCATCCCCAAAACTACGTAATTGCCAAGTCTGTTGGCTTCAACCTCTTAAAAGTTTTAGAATCTTTCAACTTCTAAGTTTATCTCCAAGAGCTTAACTTGAAGTCTCACCTCATCTTTTACCACCACTCTCCCGAACTTGCTCCCTCCATTCCATTTTCTACACTATGCAGGAGAATTTTTTCTATAAAGTAAAACTGATGTCATCATTCCCTAGTTTTAACACCTTTAATAGGACTTCATAGCACTCAAGAGTAAAGCAATAAAGAAGCTAGACCCAAAGGGACTGGAAGATAGATCAATGTTAATGGGGAACCCAGCAAGGGAAGTGAAAGAGTGCTGTTATTTTGAACGAAGTATAACCATTGTCGCGAAACAAAATGTGTATAAATTTTTGCAAGGAAAATTAATATACTCTAAACATTTAGAAAAATTACAAAACAAACAAAAAGAGAATGCACCCCCGCCCCTCAAAAAAAAAACCCCAAAGAGACACAAACAAAAACACCACTGCCGCCAGGGTTGAAGGGCAAGTCAGGCAGATGTAAGCCTCCTTAATCTTGGTTTGCCTTCTTTCTCGACATTTTCATCTTCATAGAGTCTAGCTATAGCAAATGAATTCCTGGCATTACTTATTGCTCTTGCCTAGGGTTTATGCCTGAATCACGCTACTTCTTTGACTAACTAATTCCCTGAAATCTTCCCAAATCCAGATTAGTTAAACCCATCTTACAGCATTCCTCAAAGCTGGTAGATGATCAATGTGCTATCGAGCCCCCAATGTCCTCCTATAGAAGCATTTATGACACATTCCTGAAATTTCCCACTACTCTAAAAGATCCTTAGGGTAGAGAATATTTACGAAACCTTTCTAGAATTAATTAGGAGAAAAGCAACAAACAGAAACCTATTTTGTCTTACACATCAGTCAGATCTCTTATGGTTTGGCTAGAAACATATTCTCTCTCTCATCTCTCTCGCTCTCACACACACTCACAACATAGCTAGAACAGTACACAGCTAGCCCTATTTTTTCACAGAGCTGTGGAAGATGGGAAAACCTAAGAGGGGGACGATCACTTACATTTGGACCAAACCCCAAATCAAACTCACTGCCATCGAGTTGAGCTCAGCTCAGAGAGCCTGTGGAATAGATTGGACTGGTCTTTGTGGGGTTCGGAGGCTGTAAATCTTCACTGGAGCAGAAAGCCCCCTCTTTCTCTCGCAGAGCTGCTATTGACCCCGTGCACAGCAGTCCACCATATAACCCGTTACACCACCACAGTGCCATGATCACAAAATGTAAGTTCAATCGACTGAAAATTACCAATTTTGTGAAACAAGTTTTGAGGTCGTACTGTAGGTATTTAATTCATCTATTTAGTCTCAATAATAGACCAAACTGCCAAAAAAGTAAACATGGTTTTGGCCTGAATTATAGTCTAATTCCAGTGAGTGGTAACTGTCCTGTTCTCCACAGTAGTTGACTCAACTAACAATAATACACTTAGCTAAGACTTATATAAACTAGAGTATCTCCAGAGGAGAGAGGTCAGAATGACGAGAATTAAAAGCACAAGAAATGAGAGAGGAAATAGTTAGCCTGAAAAAGTTAAGTTGTGTTGGTAGCCGGTCCTAAAAACCAGCCACTACTGAGTTGATTCCTATGGGACAGAGTAGAACTGCCCTAAGGCTGTACATGTTTACAGAAGCAGCCTATCTTTCTCCCATGGAGCTGCAGGTGGATTTGAACCACCAACCTTGTGGTTAGCAGCCCAAGGCTTAACTCACAGAACCATCAAATCTCCTAAAAGGATGAATTATTCTCTCAGACAATGTGACTGAGTCATTTCCAGGATGGGGTAGAACTGCCCCTGGGGGGTTGTGAGACTGTAACTTTTTAGTGTAGTAGAAAGCTTCATCTTTCTCCCATGGAGTGGCTGGTGGTTTTAAACTGCGGGCCTTGCGGTTTGCAGCCCAACATGTAACAACTAATTAGCAGAACTCCTGACTGGAACAAGAAACTTGATTTTAGTAAGTCATGTGTAAAAGAGCTAAGAGGGTCCAGGCCAGACAAGCCGAACTATAAAGGCTAAAGCCTAGAGAGGGACGTTGACAAATACTGAAGATCACTACAAGGGCCTTATATTAAAACAACCACCACTTCTCCATCAGGGCCACACATAAACAGCAGGAGACAAATTCGATGGCTGGGATTTCTTAATCATTAGACACATATGTGCAGCAAAAGATTTCATCAAAATTGTAAAAAGAAAACTCACCAATTGGGAGAAAGCATGTCAATGACATATCATACAAGGGACTAATTTCTAAATGGTGCAGGAAACTAAATTCAAAGTTATAC